TAAGTGTCACCAGGGAGACACAACTGCCTTTCCATGTTGTACCAAGCATAGTATCTCTGAGGCATATGGGATTAAATACTCTGTCAGATCTGGGGTCCTCTAAAATGGTTGTTCTCCCTCCCCTCAACAATTAGGGGAAAGATGCTGCTTCTCACTTACCTCAACAGGCATGCCTGGGCTTCTTAGGAATGGAGACAGGAAGGAGGATGGGGCTGGGACACTGGTGTTGTTCTGGGGGAGGTGAGGAGAGTTTTATACTGCTGGCTCATCTCTTAGCTAGTCCCTTAGCTTCCTTACAGGCAGGAAACTGATTCTGCTATGCTGTGGTGCTCTGGCCCCTTTTCCAAGGGAAGATTGGTAAGGGCCTGACAAAGATACAACCTCAGTGAGCAACCAGAAAGAGAAAGATAAAGACAAAGAAGGTTGAAGGGCTATCCTTACAGATCTTTCCTGAGCATGACTCCACGGCTGGAGTCTAATGGTGATGAAAGAGTAATTTTGAACCATGTGAATTGGTGGTGGTGGGGGGGGGAGTGGAGATGATTTCAAACATGGCAAAAAGGGACAGCAGACCCAAATTTGTTCAAACTCCAGCAGAGTTAAGGGCTCATGCACAAATGAAATAATAATATTTAATAATTCCTGACATTTCTAGAAAACTCTAAGACTTAAAACGCACATTATAACTACCTTCTTATTGGAGCATCATAACAAACCTTAAGGGAGATGTTGTCATTTTTACCCCATCTTATCAATGAGGAAACTGTAGTTCATAACTATTTAATGACTTTCCTAGGATCTCACAGCTAGTTAGTGTCAGAGACAAAATGCAGAGGTTAAAAAAATCCAAAAACCGGCCTTGGTGGCCAGAGAGGTTTGGAGAGAGATCTGGGAGGGAAGGACAGAAAGAATTCCCCCAGAAGATAGAACTCCCTTCCCCAATATAAAAGGTGGGAGTTGTAGGCCTCTTGGTCAGCTTCCCCTTAATGAATGCTTCTCCCCCTTTTCATTCCTGCCCCATCCTCAATAGCATGTCGATCAATAATTGTTGATAACTGTTCATCCTGGGAAGTGGAGAAAGAGAACCACTTGAAGAGAACCACTCTTCACTTGAAGAGGCCCAGAAAACTCTGGGTCATTCTGCATTAAGTATTAAACCAAGTTTTCTGCAGCAACAATCCAGATGTGGAGAGGGGGTTGGGGTTTGGGGGTGGCGGGAGGTCTGGATAATCCAATGTCTGGTTCCTGGTTATTCTCCTGTCTTTTCTGAATGCTCCTTGCTCCATTTTATACATAGGAGGTCTGTAGTCCAGAGAGATAATTGCTGGGAAGCAGAATTCAAATTCTTGGTTCCTTCCTCAGTCCAGGAACTCTGACTCCAGCTGGGGTAGAGTATCCTGAGCCTTGATGCCTAGAACCCCAGATTGCCCCAGTTTGATTAATGAGAGCTCTCTCCTTTCCTAAGGTGGTTCCTGATTTTGTCTTGAAAGAGGCAGGTGGAAACCTCTATCCAGGCCCCCAGCAATCTTGCTGATCTTCCAGACTGAATCTGTGTTGGCTGGGCATAGGGAGAGGAGTAATGTAATCCAGCTTTGGTGGGAAGGTGAAGGGAGCCTCAGAGAGTCCCACAGTAGGGCAGCAGCAAGCAGGGCTTTCAGAATGTCTCCTCCAGGAATTGGAAACAATGGGGTCCCCCAACCAGAAGCATCCACAAAAACCTACTTCACGTACAGGCTCAGCTCCTTTCAGGCGAAGCAGAATCCAGCTGCCTAGAGATGGGAGTTTCCCAGAAGACGGAAAAAGAGAATTGTCACCAAACAGCAACTAGCTTGGAAAATCCAACTTTCTGGTAGTATTCTAAAGACTTAGGTTAACAGGAAGAAAGGGGGAGAGGGGAGAAAGGGGAAAGAGAGGAGAGAGAGAGAGAGAGTGTGTGTGTGTATGTGTGTGTATCAAGGAGGAGGAAAGGGAAGAAAGAGGGAGGGAACATGTAGGAAGGAAGAGAAGGAGCTAGGAGGAAAGAAAAATAGATGTAGAGAGAAAAAGATAAGGAAATAGAGATGACAGTTTGGGGGAGAAAAAATAGATGTAGGACAATGAAGGGAATTTGAGCCGTCTGTGGCTGATGTATGTATGTATGGAGAGTGGAACAAAGCACCGAGAAGTGGGGAAAGAGAAAGAGCGTTCTGCTGAGAAGTTATAGAGACCTGTCCGAGTGGGAATGTGGCCCTCGGAAAACCTTGGCATTAGCGGGGTCAGTCTTGAGGAGGCTTCCCAGCTCTAGTAGGTGGGCGAGAGGGTCCTAATGACCACAACCACGGCAGAAGCGGAGGCACTGAAGGTTTCGGAGTAGCCCCGGCGGTCCCTCCAGCCTCGAGGCTGCCCTACCCCAGCCGTGGCTGCGCCTAACCTCATTCCCCGCTTTCCAGAGGCTGCGGAAGTCTCCCTGCTGGGCTTTGAGAATTGGGGCCGATCCTGACCTCAGCCAAACCCTCCCTTGGCCTTCTTTCTGCCTCCAGACTGACTGTTCTCCTATGAAGATTCTCTCAGGGTCCCAAAGCAAACCTGAGACAAGAGCCGCTTGGCCTTCTCCATTCTTCTGGCCGTCGGTTGGTCGGTGGGTTGGCTGAGGCAGGAGGAGGTGAGCCTCGGCTCCCGGCGCTGGTCTCGGAGGCTTCCTCCCCTCCTCCCTGGCCCACCCAGCTACTGCCGAGACAAGCGGAGTTCTGGCGGAAGGAACAGGAGCCTCGATGTCCGCTGCTCTGCTGGGCCTGACCGGGACCCAGTGGGGTGGACCGGAGGCGGAGGTGTAGGGGTGGAGGTGTGGTGGTGGAGGCGGGAAGAGGAGAGGGGCTCAGAGAGGGCGGAGTAAGCTCCTTGCTCCTTGCGGTGACCCCGAACCGGGAGCCCCTAACTCCAAGAAGGTCAACTATCCCAATCTTTCGCACGGTGGCCCAAAGCGGAGAAGGAACCCCCCTCACATGGCTTGAAGCTCCAGCGGGGCTCTCGGAGACAGAGAAGGAATGGGATATAGGCCTCCCCACTCAGCCTGGTCCTCTCAGTCTTCCTTCTCCTTCTCTTAGCTCAGCTTCTTCCCACCTTAGGTCCAGCCTCCTCTCCCAGTACCCAGACTCTTTCCTCAGCTTCCTAGCCCGTCTCTTAACGGCTTTGGCCTTCACTCAGGCCTTCCAACTGTTGTCAGCTCTCCTGCCTGGAGCCTTCACCCGATGCAGACCTTGACCAAGTGTGAACAGTTCCAAGAGCCCTACAGATGCAACTGGGAAACTGGGGGGCTGCCTGATT